TATAAAGCTTATTACTTTTGTATTTACATGCCTAAGCATTGTTCTGACTTCAAGAAAGACCAAGTCGCTGCTTTACATGATTTTGGGCTGTCAAATAGACAAATAGTTGATAAGATTAATGGAAGTGAGTCATGTGCCCACAAGTTAATCAAAAAGAGAAATGAAACTGGAACATGTAATAGATATAGCGGATCTGGCCAACTACTAAAAACTACCGACAGAGATGATAAAAAAAGATCAATTTTAAACAGCACAAGATGTTTCCAAAGCAACTAGTTTGGCGGTTTCTTCAAGAACAGTCAAAAGCAAGTCTTAAATCAAAAGGCATTGTTTCCAAATACATAATAATTAAACTTTCATATCTGTTAAAAATCAATGGGCATGGTTGGCTTGGTTCAAAGCTCATTTACATTGGCCTAAATCTGATTGGGAAGATGTTATGTGGAGTGACGAGAGCCTCTTTACTCTTTGATATGAAGGACGAATATGTGCTTAGTGTATGCCCAGTGAAACAAATACTCCAGTGATTACAAAGGGCACTGTTAAACATGATAAAAAAAATCAGCGTTTGCATTCTCAGCAGCAGAAGTTGGTAATTTGTACAAAATCAAGAGAATCACGGACCAGCATCAATACCACAACATTTAATGAATTCTATTACTCACTTGTCTTGCTAAAAATACAGAAATTGACTTTCTATGGGTGCCTACATTTTTTGCCTTGTACTGTATATATATATATATATATATATATATATATATAAGCACTTGCAAATGTTCAAGTTAAATCATGGTAATTATATATAATATGTAAACTTGTGCATCATTATCTTACAAACTTTTGATTAGTAATATTCAATGTAATGTACTTGAGAAAGAACTTTAAATATTCAGCTAAATATAAATATTTAAATATTCTTGGAGAATGAGATATGGAGAAAAAAAAAGAAAGTAATTCTGGTATTTTTATTTTTGTGTTGTTTAATTTTCATTGGTTAATTAGCCTTCATGTACATTTGACTTTTTAAACAATGTTTGTATAATTTATGGCATTCTGAATTCAAGTTAAATGCACGTGAAGCCTGATTAACCAATGAAAATCAAGCAACATAAAAATACCAGAATTTCTTTCTTCTTTCTTCCCATATCTTGTTCTCTGATGAAGCTTTAATAAAAGTGAAGCATTAGGATGATAAACGTTTCCTATTTCTTCTTTATTCTATCATTCTGTCGGATTCCTATATATATATATTCTGTATTAGTTTTTCAACAGGTTGATTTTTTTTAGCTATCTCAGTCAAATTTCTATTTCTGGCTCAAACTCACTCCACACCGAGGTTGATAAGACAGACAACCGATATCTTTGTCTGCCAAAATAAGCTATTCCCCATATGAGATGATTTTGGATTTTATTGTTTATATATATATTTAGAAGGAAAATGTTTACTGAGTGGGATTGAGGTGTATAGATTGTACTTAAATCATCAGAGTTTTCTGGATCAAAAGTAAAGAAAAAATATCAAAATGCAAATACAACCAAATTACTCACCTCGTTGAATAAAATCCAAGTATAAAAGAGTATCTCTATCTGCAAAGTATATATCCATTTCATCTATATATGCATTTGGATAATTCTCTTGTTTCATGTCAATGTTTCCTCGACCAATGTACATATTCCCATGTCTAGATTTTGAAGGTGATCGGAATGAATACAGACTTTGGGTCTTTTTGATATTTTGGTTCAGATACATCGACAATCCATAGTCCTTATTGAAGGAAACTTCCAAGAAATACCAAACACTAGTTTGCAAGCCATCTATGTGAACTTGCCAAACTTTTTTTTTACTTGTTGCTACAGCATAGAGAGTATTTTCATTGGAATAGAGAGTTAACCCTTTCAGGCCAGTGGACAGATAATAACGCTTTCCATTGAGTTCAACAAACTTGATCCACATGGATAACATAAAACCATATAGACACCTTGCAAAATTTCCCAAACATGAGTGACCTTGGTGCTGCAAGCTGACATATTGCTCTGGACCTGAAAGTTGGAGAGACCGTCCAATAACTGCATCATGGCTGAGCCAAACATTTCCATAGATACTTGCATCCATGTGGGCTACATCGAGGGATTTTCCTCGCTTGGCATCCATATCCAAGTGATAATGGTAAATTGGTCCTGTAAGAAAAAAGAAAAAGAAATAATTATTTTACCTATAGGCAAATGTTCCTTTTGCATGTATTTCTTAAATATGTATACTTTATCCTCCTTCTTAGAACCATTAGTCCCTTCTGTGAAGAATAGGATGACAATTTCAACATGCTTGGTGTTTCTGTTGCAGTTTCTCCAGCAAGTAGGTGTTTAACAGAGTTGAGTTGCATGCCTCACACTTCATCATTTCTGAATTCAGAGTTATCCTTCTACTAGAGTGGTTGCTAACAAAGTTGAGCGAACCTAGTCTACCCTACTATTTAACACCTAGCTAGGAAGAGAAAATATAGATTCATTCCATTCCCAAGTGTATTTGTGTGAAAGCAATACGCTTGACTGGAATTTGAACTTGGCAGGCTGATTCTTTTCTGTGTTGATAGCAACTATTCTACATGTATATCCATTGTAGTCTTTAAGCAGGTGCCTTAATTATCAATGTATATTGCTATTATTATTATACATTCATTCATTCATTATCTATGTATTGCTCCATCCCCCAAAAGAGAAACATTACTCTCCTAGCTTCTAGATCTTTATGAAAATTGCATCTTGTCAAACTTGGTATATTAAATAAATAATTAGCCAAAAGTTATCCTACAAATTCCTTGGAATTGAACTGCAGATACACTGGTCTCCTGTTTAGACTCCTTAACAGTGAGCCATCTCTTAAACACAAACCCTGCAGTAAATAAGTAAAACGAAATTGAAATCTAATTGATAATATTGCAATTTTTCTCATCTGTTAAAATTAATGTAGGTACAGACATGATTCTCTCTCTCCTGTTTTTCTTGTCTGTGGTTAAGTAATTAATTATTTTGTCAGAGTATTTGTTAATATTTAACATTTTCTATATCATGTCATTGTTTCTTTGTAATTGTTACATTTCTCTTTTGTTCTAAATAATATCATGCTGGTTGCAAAACTGAAAAGAGCTAAATAAAACTCATTTAAATTCTATTCATTCATCTATAAACTGATTTTTGTCTTTGGCCTTCAAAAATGTGTAAAGTATGTAGCTATTGTATTGAAAAGGTTGGAGACTTGTTGTTTTAAATAACTTGTCTTTGAAGCAAATTTTAGCAACTTATTTTTGTTTTATGCTTGTTTTTAAGCAACTGTTATAAAAAGGATAACATTTTTCCACAAATAATCTTCTTTCAATTATTTATGCTTTTTATTCTTTGACTTTTTATGCCGCAATCTTTTTTTCTTTTTTTTTTATAGCTTTCCCAGCTTTAATTATAAGCTAATCTCATTAGCAATTTCTTAATTTTTCTCTTTGCTGTCTTTTTTCACTATATTGTCACAACCATAATCATCCAATAAGCAGATATCAAAAGTATTTTTGTTTTCAGAAAACCTTTATGCCAAAATCTGAAGACATCCTAAACCCCCATTTATTGATTTTTTTACACTATTTATAATTGTACTTTGTTGTTGTTATCAGAATGTTTTCACTGTTGTGAACTCCGGCCTTTCCTTGTCATAACAACAACAAAAATGAGGACAATAGTTTGAATATAAATAGTGTAAATAATGATAACTTGTCATTCCAGAAATTCTCATTTTTTTATATTTATTATTTATTAATGTTTTATTGTTATTGTTTTTATTTTATATTATTATTTTTTATTCATTTTATATTATTGTCATTATTATTTTTATTTATTTATTATTATTTTTATTTATTATTATTTTTATTATTATTTATTTATTTTTATTTTATTTATTATCATTATTAGTGTTTTTTATTTATTTATTATTATTTTTATTTATTATTATTATTATTTTGATTTATTTATTAGAATTATTATTATGTTACCTCAAGCTGCAGAATGAAGCAGCTCTTGCAGTTGGCATGCAAGTTCAGTCCCTACCAAAAAGTACATTTTTCTTTAATAAAATTATTTTATCTTTTATGATCTAGGTAGATATTAACTTCATTATTTGCAAATAAACAATGTTTGATTGATTTGATTGATTTTTTTATGGCTTATTAATCTTTGGCAGGATATTTAAAGCCATAAAATAGTTTTAGACTGTAAGAACATTTTGTTGCTTATAATGTTTTAGTGATACAAGTCCTGCTAATTAACCCATAACTGGGGGGAGAAGAGGTAGATTCATACCTATCATAAGGAGATTTGTACATGTGAATATAATGAACATGACTGGAATTAGAACACAGCTCTCTGATTTTCAATTCCAAACCATTACACCTCCCACATATCCAAACTTATCGCACCTGGTATTACCAAGTGGTTACCCATATAAGTACTGACCAGTCTTGAGATTGCTTAACTTTGATGATTGTACGAGAACTGGTGTTTCCATGTTATACGGCCATAAACCTAAATAAACAGGGGATGTATATTCAAACACAAGTATGCCCATTTATGTATTGTTCTTGCAAGTGGGCAAATTCTGTGATACAAACACAAAAAGAGACTTCAAAATGGTGTCTCTGTAGAGGAAAGAAAAGAAACTCTCCAACAGTATAAATCATGGAAAACACAGTCCACCAAAGATCACAGTACAATTTCATTCTTTCCTCAACAGTTGCAGGAAACACATTGTCTACCACTTCAAGTCAATCCTTAAATACACACTGAATTCATGAATATTTATCAACAGATAGTATTAGAAGTATTGCATTCACACATGTGCAATTTTCTCCTTGCAAATGGCTGCCTACATGTAAAGCACAAAACATTGTGCTCATTTAACTTCAGATAATTTATTACACACACACACACACACACACACACACACACACACACACACACACACACAATCATTATTGGTACTGTTCAGCTGTAACTTTTGTTTCTGGTCTTATAATAGCAAATATATGTATCAAGATTTTGGCATTTCTGTAGTTTTATTTTAAACTAAGTCTCAAATTGGCTAAAACTGCTTGCAGGAATTAGAATATAAAAGGAAATAAAATAATATCAGCTTATTCTGCTTGGAATTGATTTGATTATTGTAAGGGCAGTGTCTAATTATTTCAAATCAAGCCCAGAATTGAATGATCTTTGGTTATTGATTATGACATCTTAAAATAAAAAGGAGGAAAAATTGAGCAATGGCATTTGAAAAACTATCAGAAGAACTTGGATCATCAAAAAGAGAGTTGATTAAAATAAAAATATAACACATTTGATATATCTTAATAATTAATAACTAACTCTGAGAAACAAAACAGAAATAAAACTTACCTAATTGCTTCAGTTCATGAACTGTCATGAACCTGTCCCAGAATTTAAACTCATCAATGATAAGTGTAGCTTGAGTTGGGTTACGTGTATTATCATTTCCAGTGCCAATCTTAAAATCAGAATACTTCATTCCTGCTTTTGTTGCCGGCTGACCCTTTGTGGGGTTCCTTGTCCTCTTGGATAAAAGACCATTTTTGACAAGATCTAGACCATGTTTCCTACTCCAAGATGCAGCAATATAATACCATTGGCCAGGCAACACGTTTTTATCCGAAGCACGCCACTCATTTCCTGATTTGTCCCGGAATATAAATTCCAAAACTCCTTTGGAGTAAAGCATAGCAATACCATGGGAATCTGAACGATCGCCTCCATTTGTTAGGAAAACTTGTTTTTTGTAGCTTGGATAAAGGAATTTTAACCAAAAACTGATGGTGTATCCTGAAATCAAAAAAAGAGAAATAAATATAAAAAGAAACTTCACTTTACAGCAAATAACTCTTTTGAACAAAGTGTGGGTTATCCCATTTGACTTTGCCAAAAATGCCCATTAGGTGGCACTATTTAAGTCTATAAAAAGGTAAACATTTCTTTCCTTTTTCCTTTTTAACCTCTTGTGAGATGTCCCCCCACTAGAGCACATTTACTTCCTTGGTCCACTGACAACACTCTCATGCACACGCATATCACACACTCTTGTTGCACACACACACATGCACATTCTTATAGCTAGTCTGAATGTCTTTTCTTTTGATTTGAACTGAGCACACATGTAATTCCTTTTGTGCATTAATTGTCATTTGTTTTAAATTCCATGTTTTGTGCTCTTATTTTTATCCAGGTTCACATGAGTCCACACGACGAATGTTTCAGGAGTTGAGAATATTTACTATAAAAACATTCACACCTTGCGACCAAAGAGGGTAATAGCTCACAGCAAAAGCATTTGAGAATATAAAACAAAAACATTTACATCAATTTAGATCAATATTACATTTCATACATATATAAATTGAATTATTATCTACACAATCATGTTCTATTACTAACATTTTTAAGGATTATCATTTGTAATATTAAAAATTTGTACAGTAATGTAAAATCTGAATATATAAACTTTCATTTGCATCCAGCATTTATGTCCTGATCAGGATTATTAATTAGAAAATAGTCATTTTTATTAATTTCATTCAGTTTTTCATTCAGTTTTTTGTTCAGTTATTCATTCATTCAGTTATTCATTATCATTTCCTACCAGAATTTCTTTCAAATAAGAAATAACTTTATTATAAATTAAAATTAACAAAATAAAATTAACAAATATGAATGGCTAAACTTCTCTTTATTTAATTTTCAACAATCTTTGTCTATATTTCTGAGATGAAGCATTATGTACATTATTTACATTATTTGGATGATTGTCCTCATCAGTGTCGCCATATTTATTACCACATTTCAGGCCGTTGTATGCTCTGGCCTTCTTCAGGTGGTTGGAATGTTAAACTGAACCATTTATTTCCTCAAGGACACATGGCACAGTGGATAAAGGCATTAGTTAGATCCAGTGACAGGACCCAAAGAGTGTGAGTTCAATAACTGTTTAAGGCAGTCGAGAACTTTCAGAGGAGAATTAGCAGGAGATAACTGATAACTGACATCCATTAAACATGGCACGTGGAACTAGAACAGTCTACCCCAGTGTGCGAAATAAAGGGTTCAGTCTGACATTCCAAGCACCTGAATAAGGCCGTAGTGTACAACGGATGAAGCATAATAAATATGGCAACAAAGATGAGGACAATAGTCCGAATAATGTAAATAATATTTAACAATCTTGTTTGTAAATTTAGATCTGCAATTACCTTCTGGACAAAGATCAAGATCCCCAAAGCATTCTTGACGGTGAGCCGGACCAGCAACCCGAATCCACTGATGACCACGGATGACCAAAGCTCTGTTTAAGACACCTCTGGTGAATTTGGGTCCACCAAAGACATTGACATAGAGCCCTGAAGGATTTTTCAAGGTGCCATTTTGGTAAGCATCCATTGGTAAATAATAGACCATAGCATTTTGAGCTGTAAAGAAAAAAAAAAGAAAAAATAAGTAAATAAATAAAAATTTAATGACAGAGGCAAAGAATGTTTTGAATATTCTGCAAGGTGTCCAAAGAATTGGTAAAAAAACAGATGGCAATAAAAAAATTCTTTTACTAATAAGAAAATGGCATTTATTTGACATTAAACGCTTGAAAGCATTTGTAGCATAGAGAAAATACCAGACTTGTATTTACTTTTACGCAATAAAATAGAGTGTTCAGGCTTATGACATACATTCACTATTGTAATAAAGTACGATATATAATATAATGTGTGTGTGCATATATATATATATATATATATATATATATATATATATATATATATATACTATATATATATATATATATATATATATATATATATATATATATATATATATATATATATATATATATATATATGTACATGCATACATAAATACATATACTTAGTATATAGGGGAGCAGATGATTGTTCAAACATATATTGTTAAATATGACAGACAATGAATGCCTATTATGTTTTATCATGAGCCTTCCCAACTGTCGTATAATGGCTTTAGTTTCAAGAGAAAATAAAGACTAAAGCTGTCCAAGATTTGTATATTTCTTTATTATATTGGTCGTCAAAATACACATATATATGTTACACACACATACACAAATATATTACACACACAAATATATTACAAACACACATGCATAAATATATTACCCCCCCCACTTATACATATATACATATATATATATATATATATATATATAAGAAAAATATATATATATATTTCCGTACATATTTTTCTTCATACTGTCAGATCTATATCCATATATTTGCTTACATATATATATATATATATATATATATATATATATATATATATATATATATATATATATATATATATATATATATATATATATATATATATATATACATATATATACATACATATATATATATATATATACATATATATATATATATATATATATATATATACATATACATATATATACATATGCATATATATATATACATACATATATATATATATATATATATATATATATATATATATATATACATATATATATATATATATATATATATATATATATATATATATATATATATACATACATATATATATATATATATATATATATATATATATATATATATACATATATATATATATATACATACATATATATATATATATATATATATATATATATACATACATATTTTACAGCATATCAATTTCTATTATTTCTATTCAGGTGATTTTTGTTGGATTACATAAATTTTTGAGATCTTCAGTTATTTTGGGTGATTAACAGTTTCTTAAATATTAAATGCTTTTGGATTAGTTCAAAAACTTTTTCTGCTCTGGATTATTAGTGTTTCTTTTCCTTTAAGGAGTTTGAAAACATCTATTTTATTTAGAAAACTTTAGATTTGGAAGATTTGTGTTTAGTTGTTTTACTTCATGAGAGATTGCATTTTTTAAATAATATTTAAGAACTGTCTGCTTTTGATGCATTGATTTTATTGTAGAATTGTGTCCCTTAAAGGAAACATTGGCAGTCTCTGTAAGAAATGTTTCTTTTTTTTTCTAATTGTATGAGTTTTTACTGGTATAATTAGTTTTATAATAATTGGGGATGTGGTGTTTGATGTATCTTTTTGGTTCTCTTTGAAGAGTTTTCATGTTGAGTTGATAATTAGGTGAGTATTTTTGTTATTAATGACATGTCATTTTTGGTTTGCTGGGATTTTAAGTTTTTAAGAATTTGGTCATTAATTACCATATTTTCTGTAATATTGGTTCTACTTATCTTTGATGTTGGTTTTGTTGTAATTATTTGTTTCTTGTGTTTTTTTTTCCTGGTTGAAATTATGAACTATTTTATTTTTATAGGAAATTTTTTTCTATTGTTTTCTTTTTTTTCTTTTTGGGTTCTTTATTTTGATGAAGTTTTTTTTTGTTTTCTATTTTTGAGCCATCTATTTTCCGTTGTAATTTTCTTCCTTGGACTCTTGCGGATTTTTAATTTGTTCAGCTGGTTTAAATTAGGTTTTTGTTTTTCCAAAATGCAAAAGATGACAAAAAGAAATGAAATGAAAAACTAAGAAAAATAAAGAGAAAAGAAAGAAAACTTGAATCAGTGAAAAAAAAAAAAGAAAAAAAGAGACTATTTTTTTAAAACATTTTTTTTCTATTTATCTTTTCTCTGCTGACATTGTTTTTTTTTTTTTTTTTAATTTTTCCAAACACCTGGTATGATTTGTCAAGAGGGACTATCAGTAAGTTTCACTCACTGGGTCATCCTCTCCTTCATATGGCAGAAGTGAATAAGCATTCTAACATGACTGTGACAAAGAAGGAGGAAGGTATAATGAAAAGAAAATGGGTATACAACTGAAAAGAAATATACAGGGATGCCAGTTATATGGTGGATTTAGATGAGTAAAATATGGTAGGAAAATGTTTGGCTAAAAAGAAATCAGAGGAAAGACTAAAAAGGGGGATTAGGATTAAGAGGAGGAGGAGGAGGAGGAGGAAGAGGGGGACAAACAACAAGTGAAAGGTGGGCCGTTGGGTGAGAGAGATGAAGTAAAATGATATCCCTGGTTTCCATATATTTAAAAATAGAGTATGATGAGTTGTTGTAAGGATAGAAGATTTACTTTTTAGATTCACTTATGTAGGGAAAACGAAACAAACTTGTGAATGGAAACAGAAGGAGACAGAAAACCAGAATATTGCTGATTTTTATATTATATATATGTAGTGAATGAAATGCTGTAGAAATTTAATATGCCATTCTTCCAAGAATTTGAATTTAATCAAAATTCTATACCAAGTGATACAAGAAATAGGACTTCAGATAAACCTTTCCAAAACAGAAAATATGATCTGGAATTGAAATGTCAGTTGTAATGGCGCACAGCCTAAATCCATCATAAAAATTCAGAATGTAGAATTGATAAATTCAAAATACTTTAAATACCCTAGCGTATGGATCAGTTACTACAAATTTTTGTCTAGGAGATAAGGAAATTAAACACAGGAGATGTTGTGCTAGGGATATTTTTGTCAAACACTGTAAGATGATACAAAAACAAAATATTGAGTTGTGTTCTAAAATAGCCTTGTCAGATCTAAACTCTCATATGGATATCATACATGGTATCCAACTTGTTCAGAAATGTCTAACTTATCATCTATATACAGCCATTTTATCATATCAATGATTAAAAATGGCAAATGAATTTCAGCAACTCCTTTAAGTTTTAAAGAAGACAATTCTTCATCAGATCCTATAGACTCGTACTGCGCAATCACAAAGAGTTATACCAAATAACAAAAACACATCATTTTAACACTTCCAACAGTTGCAATAGCAAAGATGAATAGAACATGTAGTTATAAGAAAAAAATAATGAGATAAGCTGTTAGTTTTCCACACTATTATAAACAAAAGGCTTGGAAAGAAAACTCCCATCAGTATATAGAAAGTGCAATTACAGTTAGTAGACTTGAGAACTTTCAAGAAAAATATTGTCTAAATTTAAACCAAAAATATCTCTGACATTTCAGTCAATGAAAGCAGAATGTTTCCTATGTGCTAACAGCTAATCTCAACATTACCATTTGCCTGGGTTTTAAATACAGGCACTTGAGTAATATATTATCCTAGATGCAAGGCATGCAACACAAACCAGAGAAATGATTTTATAATCTTAATGGCAACTTAATCTGGAGATCTTAAAGGAATCAGAAGATAAGAACTGCCATCATCAAGAAAATCAGGTTCATTATGTTTACTAGAATGGTCTTGCTATTGGCATAATTTAATTCAGTTTTTGTCTGAATCTGAAGATATTAAAAAATGTTATTAAGAAATTCAGATTAAATATGTCTTAATATTGTGTATACTCTATAATTGGTATTTTCTCTCTGTCCCTGCATATGTAGACAAGACATTATAAAAGAGAAACAGATTTGTCTTTTTATACTATTTTATAAGCATACTTATTAGGTCATTTAATTAACAATAATTTGATATTAATGAAGTACTTGTAAGATTTATAATATTTACACATTATGAGTGTCATAATTTTTACCAGATGAGGCACATGTATATTGGCAACAAACAAGTTTTATAGTCATAGAAACATTGCCAGAAAAAAGGCATATTTTAAGAATGGATTCTTTTCTCCATTGAGTTCTTCATGCCGTGGTTTGTACACAATTAGATAACTTTCTGGTATGTGAGAGTAATAAACTAAAAACAATGTCTTCCCTTCTCATGCCTTAATATAGTAATGATAGTCAAGTCTTAATTTAGGTTACACAGAAATGTTGACCCCACTCTGAAATGTAAGTGAATTTAAAAACTAAATTGTATAGGCCTATTTAGTTATAACTCTGTGTGTGTGTGTGTGTGTATGTATATATATATATATATATATATATATATATATATATATATATATATGAAGAAAAATATACAGAAAAAACAAACAAAAATCTTAATATGCAATTATGCTGTATTAATGTTAATATAAAGTCAATGTCGGACGTTTCGGTCTATTTTAGACCATCATCAGGACATATTCATTAAACATAATTAACATTATAACATATAAAATTCCGATGTTGACTTTATATTAACATTAATACAGCATAATTGCATATTAAGATTTTTGTTTGTTTTTTCTGTATATTTTTCTTCATACTGTCGGATCTATATCCATATATTTGCTTACATATATATATATATATATATATATTAATTTGTGTATTTAGGCAGCAAATTCTCTTTTAGGCATGTCTGATTAAATAAATTATAGACATTATATAAAAATTCACAGTTCATTTTACATTGTTATACAAAAACTTTCATGTTTCCATACTAAGATGGTACTTCTTCAGGCAATGGTGGATAACTTGTGATAAAAATGATTTATTAGGAA